GTATAGGTGATGCCCGTAGCTCAGTGGGTAGGGCGCTGGCCATGTATACCCAGACTGGCGGGTTCGAATCCAGCCTGGGCCAGCTAAACAAAATGCAAACAAACATAAAAAATAGCTGAGTGTTTTGGCAGGTGCCTATACTCCCAGCTACTTGGGAGGCTGAGGCAAAAGAATCACTTAAGCCCAAAAGTTTGAGGTTGCTGTGAGCTGTGATGCCATGGCACTCTACCAAGGGTGACATAGTGACACTCTGTCTCAAAAAAAAAAAAAAAAGTATGAATGTCTTACAACAAATAAATAAGCAAGGTGATGGATGTGTTAATCAGTTTGATGTAAGCATTTCACATTGTATATCAAATCAGTACATTGTACCCCATAAATACATCAATGTACAGTTATGATTTAATAAAAAAAGTTAAAAAATATCTAAAAAAGAAAGGAATCCCTAGTAAGTAATTTAAGTAGTAAATTTGAAAGATTTACTAGCTAATTTCATAAACCCTCCATTTTCTTTTTCTTTTTTTTAGTAAAACAAAGAGAAATTTTATTTAGGAACAAAGAGAAAGCTTAGAGCACTTCCTAAGAGTGTTGGAAGTGAGTCTCTCATGAATGAGAAGAGGTGAGAAAAGCTGAGACACAGGGCAGTATAGATACATAAATATCCTCTCTCTCTCCATTTGAAATTGTTTGTAACTCCTTCATTGTTCTCTCTGCACCTCCAGTCACCTTTGCTCTTTCCTACTGGCCATTGACTATTGTCTTTTTCTTTTGGTCATTGGTTGCCTCAGTTACCTCATAGCAACCCTTCATTTTTTAATGTGTTTGTACTAATTTATTTTCATGTCAATGAAAGAAGAATTTAAAAAAAAATAAAATGAGCAGTTAAAATAGCATGCATGTATTTAGCAGGTAAATATCAAACACCTATTCTGTGGTACTCTAAAAGGAAGTATAACAATGTAGTAGATTTTTAAGAATTGCTACAAGTAAGACACAACGTATCACATGCTCTGCTTCATTTTGTTGTCTGTGTAAATAGGAGAGTTGGCATGACGTGAATGTTAACTATAAATTCTTATTTTGAAATTTTCACTTAATTTCAAGTGTGAGAAATCATCATAAAATAAGTCCTAAAGACATCAGCAACCTGAATGATGTTTTTTAAGTACTTGGGAAATTTTGGAGACTTGTGACGTGATGGTCTAGATCATATAGCAATCACTTTTTCAGCAGTTCTTAGAAGGGGGTTTGGGAATTGAAAATGTAAAGATACCTCCTTCTGCTCATTTATAAATCAGCAAATAAGAGACAATGTTGTATCATGTGCTCTGCTTGCTTCATTTTCTTGTGTGTGTAAACTGTTCAATAGAGAGGAAAGCCTAGTTATAGCAAGGGGGAAACCTACTTTCATTGTGCCATGTTATATTTTAGGGTTCTCAAGCAAGCATAAATGCTATGATTATCTATTCTTTTTTAAAAATACTGCTCATTTATAGACATTTAGTTTTTATACTGTTTTATAATATTACTTATCAGATCATTCTGGCATTGCCAAAATTATGATAGTAGTTTCTATCAATTCATTCAAAAGAGATGATACAACGGATTTTTAGTCAATAGTTAATATATTAGAAATTTAGAGATGTGTACATGGTGAAAGTAATCAACTTGAATATGTTCAGAAGTAACTGGTTGTTTAGTCACAATCCCATCACCATTTGTCACCATGATATAGAGATCTATAGAGTTGAAACCATGAAACCTGGGAAGATTACCTGGCAGGAAGACCCTCGTTTCCAAGATAGCAGTTCAGAAGAGGAGGATATTACTGAAGAAACAGATCACAGAAAGCCTAGCCCTGAGTAAGTAATTTGTTTCTTTGTAGGCATATTTCATTTTTATAAAATCTAAGTTATTGCATGCTTTAAAGTATTTTAGAAGTTATCTAAGTTCTCTTTACAACTTAATTTTCTTTTGTTAGCTCTTTTTTCTGGGTTCTCCAGCCTTTTTATAATGGGGAGCTAGTTCCCTTTTCCGAGGGATTTGGGTATCACTGAGTGGAAGATAGGATGTACATAGGGACAGGAGCCTGACAGTGACGTTGCTAGTCTGGAGACAGGATGCTGAAGTTGCTAGGGTGCCTTCCCGTGGAGAACAGTGGCAAATGGTGAGCAATGGTAGGAGTGAGAGTATTAACCTTTGGAGGGAAGATAGTTTGTACTTAAGTCTTCATTATCAAAGCTTCAGAGAGAATAATATTTAGTGGAGAGAAGGTAGGGTCATTTTAATTCAGGCCAAGATAAGTGAAACACAAGGCAGATATATTTCAGGAATAGTTTATTTTTAGTGTAAATATTTCTTCTTAAATATTGGACATTGAGGCCAGGTACAGTGGCTCACTTCTTTAAGCTTAGCACTCTGGGAGGCTGAGATGGATGGATTGCTTGAACAGGGGAGTTCTAGACCAGCCTTAGCAAGAACAAGACCCTATCTCTACTAAAAATAATAAAACTAATCAGGCTTGGTGGAGGGCGCCTGTAGTCCCATCTCCTTAGGAGCCTGAAGCAACAGGATTGCTTGAGTCCAAGAGTTTGAGGTTACTGTGAGCTATGACACCCTGCACTCTACCCAGGATGGCAGAGTGAGACTCTGTCTCAAAAACAAAAACAAAAATATCCAAAAATATTGAAATTAAACTACCCAATGTCTATTTCTCTCTTCCTTATATATCCTTTCCCCTCTCTTTTCAGAGAAGAATCATTACCTGAGAAAGAGACCACTAGATTTTTCTTTTTCTCTGAGAATGATGAAAGACTTCATGGTAAGTGCATATTTTCATGAAATTATAATAGAACAAGTAATAGTACAGCTCTTATCATTGCTTTGTGTATTCAGAATCACTGAATCACTACTACAGTGATTAGTAGTACTATTAGTAGATAATAACACATCTAGAACTTCTGCCCCTATCACGTGGTCTAGCTCTGTCTGTTGAGATTAATGCATATTAATTTACATATTAACTCGTAAAGCTGTCAATAGCTAAAATCCCCCTTCTCACCTTGTTCCTTGCTTATTATTGTCAAGAAGGGCTTCTTTTGGCTTGGTGCCCTTTGCACAGTAGTTAGGTTGCTGGCCACATGCACCAGGGCTGGCGAGTTCGAACTGGCCTGGGCCTGCTAAACAATGACAACAACAAAAAAATAGGAGGCTGAGGCAAACGAATCACTGAAGCCCAGGAGTTTGAGGTTGTGATACCATGTGAGCTGTGAGCTATGAGCTGTGACACCATGGCATTCTACCAAGGGTGACATAGTGAGACTCTGTCTCAAACAAAAATAAATAAATAAGAAGGGCTTCTTTTATTCCAGGGACTTTGTTAGATGTTGGACATATAAAACCTCTACATTTTTAATACTGTAAAAGTCCATGTGAAAACTTTGAAGCTGTTGAACTTTTTCCTTTTTTATTTTTTTTTTTTTGAGACAGAGTCTCAAGCTGTCACCCTGGGTAGAGTACCGCGGCATCACAGCACACAGCAACTTCAAACTCTTGGTCTCAAGCCATTCTCTTGCCATAGCCTCCCAACTGGGACTACAGGCGTCTACCACAAAGCCCGGCTATTTTTAAGTTGTAGTTGTTGTTTGGCAGGCCCAGGCTGGATTCGAACCCGCCAGCTCCCCATGTATGTAGTTGGCACCCTAGCGTGTGAGTTACAGGTGCCAAGCCTTTTTTTTCTTTTCTTTCTTTTTCTGAGACAGAGTCTTGCTCTTATCTCTTGGGCTAGAGTGCAGTGGTATCAGAACTCACTGCAACTTTAAACTCCTAGAGTCAAGTGATCTTCCTGTCTCTGCTTCCCAAGTAGCTGGCACTATAGGCCCACGTCACCATGCCCAGCTAATTTTTTTTTTTTTTTTAAGAGATGAGGTCTTGCTATGTTATCTAGGCTGGTCTTCAGCTCCCTCAAGTGATCCTTCTGTCTCAACTTCCCAAAGCACTAGGATATAGGCAAGAGCCACCACATGCAGCTAAACTCATTTCTTAAACCCTACCGTGAACAGTAACGAAGTTACCTAATTAGAATTGATAAACAGTATAGTCTAGCAATACTGTATTTTTCACTTCGCAAAATGAAATTTATTTTTGAAAATTGGTAGAAAATGGACCAAAAATGGTCTTAACTAAAATTGGATAAAGTCAACAGTAGACTATAGCCCATTTTAGCAGTAATTGGCTGTCTCGTCTTTCTTGTTTTCCCCGGTAGGCTCTGATTTATTCTGGAGAGGAGTGGGAAGTAATATTAGCAAGAGTTCCTGGGAGGCCAGAACAAACAACTTGCGTATGGTGAGTAATTGTTTCTTTGTCACCTTTTGTTAATATTTCCCTGACATAAGAATAAAGGGAATAAGGACGAAAATTTAGACAGGATGACAACTGAGAACATGATTAGCACCTAAAGCAGCAGTTCTCAACCTGTGGGTTGTGACCCCTTGGTAACTTTGAAAATACATCCTGCATATCAGATATTTACATTACGATTCATAACAGTAGCAAAATTACAGTTATGAAGTGGCAATGAAAATAATTTTATGGTTGAGGGTCACCACAACATGAGAAACTATATTAAAGGGTCACAGCATTAGGAGGTATTAGGAAGGTTGAGAACCACTGGCCTAAAGGAAACTTAGAAGTTGTTTAATTTGAACCATGAATGGTAAATGGTTCAGAAGAAACTGCAGATTGGCTGGATTGAGTGACTGATCCTGGAGTCCATCTAAGCCAGGGATCCTCAAACTTTTTAAACAGGGGGCCAATTCACTGTTCCTCAGACCATTGGTGGGCTGGACTGCGGGCCCCAGGACGAGTTAGCTGCTAAGCAGGACAGGCAGTGATGGCAAAAACACCCCGCAGACTGGATAAATGTCCTAGGCGGGCCGCATGTGGCCCACGGGCTGTAGTTTGAGGACACCTGATCTAAGCTTATTAAATAATAGGAAATCATTAGAGTTTTTCACTGAATTGTATAGTTCCCATTATAAACACTTAGTGCCAAAAGTTTGAATATTCCCTGTTCAAGTAAGCATTTCTAAAATGAGTTTCCAAAGTGCTGACAATAACTTAAATTTTGCTTCATAGTTAACTGAACAACTTGAAAATAATTTAACAAAGGCTTTCATTTTATGATTTTTAAGGATTGTCGGAAGAAACATAAAGATGCAAAAAGGAAAATGAAACCAAAGTAATAAATGTCAGCATTGGCGTTGATCCTGAATGTGAACGAGGCTTACCTATGGAAATTGACCAAGAAAATAATTTTAGCTGACAAGAAGACATTTCTGGGTGATGGAATATTCAAAAGCTGGGTGATGGAATCCTGATGACCATCTTTTTCTATGGAATTCCTCTGTATTTCTTCCTAAGTAATTCAAAAACTTAAACTGAACTTTTTAAAAATGAAGCACAGATAGTTCCCCAAAATAATTCTTTTTTTTAATTAAATCATATCTGTGTATATTAATGCAATCATGAGGTACAGTGTGGTGTTTTCATATACAATTTGAAATATTTTCATCAAACTGGTTAACATAGCCTTCATGTCATTTTCCCAAAATAATTTTTATATAAAATCTTTGCTTTCCAACCTCAGTAACTAATGAGCATCTTCTCAGACATGAAGCCTTTCCTTAATAAATGAGTCAGAGCATTTATGTTTTCCAAGTTAGGCTTTGTGTAAATCAGAGCCTTTTTTATTTTTATTTTTATTTTTTGTAGTTTTTGGCCGGGGCTGGGTTTTGAACCTGCCACCTTTGGCATATGGGGCTGGCACCCTACTCCTTTGAGCCACAGGTGCCACCCAATCAGAGCCTATTTTAAATACTTATTTCTGACCTTGTTGAACACACCTCTCTTCCCTTTTGCCATTGTTTGAAAGGATGAATTACATACAAGTCAGTATTGAATTCTATACTTGTGTTCTGATGAATAGCTAACTGAAATGCAGGTCATTTTAGAGCAACATTGTATGAGAGTTCTGTAAGGACCACTAGACTAAGCCAAATAGAGTTTTCTTGTCCTTGTGGCCTCTAGGAATTAGGGAGCAACATAATGGAGGCAGGCCCAGCAATCTCAAAATTCTAGTTCCACTGGATGCTTATGAAGAATACCAAGTGTCTAAAAGATACATAGTTATGATTAGGAGTCAGGACCCTGAGTCCAGATAGGAAAAAAAGATTTAATATTTCATTAAATAAAGCAAGCTGGCCAGGATTTATGACAGATGTTTCTCCTATTAAAATGGGCTCTATATGAAATAGTGTGACATAGACAATCTAAGGGCTATCATTAAATGATGTGTCCATCTAAAATTACCTTAGTATCAATTGATTTACATCTTGCTTGAATATAAAAGTGTTGGGATCTCATCTGGATGGTTAATCATCATGTCCCTATTGCCTAGACCTGTGCTTACCACGTAGTGAGTGCTCAGTTTGTATTTTTTTAATAACTAGGGTCCAAGGAACTAAATAGTTTAAAGGGTCATTCCAATTCCTGTCTCTAAGACTTTAGACTTCAGGGAGAATGGAAACAACTACTCAGCAGGATAAATAATACAAATGTTCCACCTTTTCTTCAGGTAGATTATATTTATACCTTTTAAACTATTGCTACATAGTAAATCCCTGTAATGATCATTTATTTTGCTCAAAAGTATCAATTTGGTCAGGACTCACTGGGAACTGCTCATCACTTCTCCACGTGTTATCACTGGGATAGTTTGGCAGGGACTAGAGAATCTACTTCTAAGATGGCCTGCTCACTCAGTGTTTGTCCATCAGCTTCCTTAAAGCATGGCAACTTGGCTCCAGAGGCAGAAAGTTGACGCTTCCAGTCTCTTAAGGCCTGGGCTGAGAAACAGGCTCAAAATCATTTCCACTTTATTTGAAAGGTCAAAACAGACACAGCAGCCACCGGAACTGTAACAGAGGGTACACATACCCTCACTTTTTGGTGGAAGGAGGGTCAATTTGTGGCCATATTTAAATTTGGCATACACTCCATCTCCAAGACAGACAAATAAGTAGCCTTGCCCACCTCAATTCCTGCTACTTAGATAAAACCATGTTCAACAATTTTATCTGTTTCCTCTGATAACTCATCTCCGTATTGATATTTATACCTAGGATGCTTATGCTCTGATTTCTTGGGTTTTTAGTTTCAGACATAACCTGTTCACTTCCTACTGTGAAAAATGATTCACGTCTTTAATCCAAGTAATATATTTTGACCAGAGTTAGCTTTTTGCTGAAATCATATCTTTTCAAATGGTTTTTTCAGACTTAAAGTTTTGATACCTCCCAACAGTCCTGTAAAATGTTTCTTCATCTAAATTTTAAATAATCAGACCTTTCAATTTACCTACTTCACCTTTTTTCCCCATACACATTTGTCCAGTAGCCCTCTGTCCTGCTCTAATCTGAACTAACTGGACAAGTGGTAGAAACAAACTGAACAGCCAGGTGTGGTGGCTTACCCATATAGACCTAGCTACTCAAGAGGCTGAGGCAGGAAAATCACTTAAGCCCAGGAGTTCAAGGCTGCGTAAGCTATGGTGACTCTACTGCACTCCAGCCTGAGTGACAGCAAGATCCTGTCTAGAAGGGGGGGGGGGGGACTAAAAAGAAAGAAAATGAAAAAGTAGCAATTTCATTAGTAAAGTTATAAAAGTATTGACCCCTTTGATGGAGGACATTTAGTGCCTAGAGACCATAAAGAATGTTGTATACATGGTAAACAGACTACCAACATGTTAAACTAAGGAAGCACTTTCTACCTGTTTCAGGCAACATCAATTTTTTTCTGTTCTTCTAAAAAATTAGGCAGTTATAGAACTATTTTCAATTTTTTAAGGCACCAAATTTCTTTCAGAGGCCAACCCTTTGCATAGCTCCAGATTTTCTTTTATTATTAACCAGATCTTAAAAGTACCAGGCAGACACACAGTATTTACAATAAATATGCAGGCTGGGTGCTACAGTTCATGCCTGTAATTCCAACACTTTGAGAAGCCAAGAACTCATGACCAGCCTAGGCAAAGTGGCAAGATAACATCTCTGCAAAAAAATTTCATAATTAGCTGGGTGTTGGTGGTGGTGGTGGGGTTGGAGGTGGAGGGCTGTGCCTACAGTCCTACCTACTTGGAGTTTGGAGTTAAAAGTGGAGCTACGAAAAGTGGAACGACTCATGTCTCTAAAATAAAAATAAAAGTTTTAAAACTTTTAAAAAATATGCATTGTTTTCATTGCAGGGAACATTTTAAACTAAATATAATCACAATTTAAAACTTCGTTGACAGCCCTTCCCTTTTTTGTATATTCTACATGGCCATTTATGACAGGAAAAGCAGCTTTGGGATTACCTGGTCAAGGCCCACAGTATAATTACTGAGACCGCTGCTCGGGAATTAGCTGGTCCAGGCCCACAGTAAAGTTACTGAAGCCGCCGATGGAGAAGTTTCTGTTTGATGGTATAAATTTTAGGTATGATTTACACGTGGTGAAATGGACAGATTCTAAGTGTCTAATTATAGATAAACACAAACAAAAGTTGAAGAACAGAAGCTCACCACCTCCCATCCTCCACCCTATCCCCGGGCGCTCCTTCCCAGTCCTTCACCCCCCACCCAGACGTTCCGCAGCACGAGTTAAGATCTCCGTCTATCCTATTGTGTCAGAGCCAAGCGACACGCAAAAACCAGCCCCAACCTCCGGGTCAGCGCGGGTGTGTTACCAGTTCCCAGCACGCACCGTAAGTCAACATCATGGTGGGCGAGGCTAGGGACCCGTATGGCCAATCGTTTCCCAGTTTGTTGGTGTGTATCAGAAGGTGCTCTCTGATTGGCTGGTGCAGAAGCGGCCCTTCCCTTTTGCCCCCACGCTCTCAGGTCGTTGCATCACCTTCATGCCGGTCTGCTGCTTAGGCGCCGGCTTCTTCCTTCGCTTGCTGGCTGGTGGAGTTTCCCAGGTTTGCCGGGCTTCTCAGGTATGCGTTTTCCTGCCTGTAGGTCCTGCTTGCAGAGTCGGGTGCACCAAGTCCTGTCTTCAGGCCCCTCAGTTACACTGCGTCCTTCCCGCATAGGCTAGAGTTCAGCCACGCGTTTCAGCCCTGAGACAGTAGCGCCCGATTTAAAACAAAAAAAAATTTGAAAAATGCATTTTCTTTGTGTTTGCTATGCATTATGTTATGTATGCTATCTACAATGGCACTTCCATAGTTGACCACCTCCTAAAATTGATCTCATATTCATAGACGGGAGACATGCAGCACATGTACGTATCAGCACAGTAGGCCTAGTTTCTTATGTTGACCACCTCCGTATATTGACCAGTTTGTTAGAGTCTCTAGGGTGGTCACCTTACTACTGTATTTCCAAGGAGGATAATTGGAAGGCGGTCTAAGATGACGCTTCAAAACTCAGAACTGGCTATGAATTTTGCCCTGACCCCTTGGCTTAAGGACTACAATCCTGGAAGGTCTTTAGATGAACACTGAAAACAGAGTAGTTCTTGAACCGTTTCAGCGGTTCTCAACCAGTGGGTCGCGACCCACAGGAACTGTATTAAAGGGCCGCGGCATTAGAAAGATTGAGAACCAGTGCTAGACGGTTGTGAGAATTCAGGATGATAGAGCACACTGGACAAGTTCAGAAGGGTTGGGTGAGATTACCGCGAAGTCTAGATATTCGTAAGAAATCAAGCATGGTTCCCAGTGGTAGCCTTCCTCTTCCTGTGCCTTTTTCTCGTGAAAGTGCATTTATTCTTGGGGACCTGGGTTCACACAGAGACTGAGATAATGCAGGAACAAGCACAGGCCTCACCAGCAGCACAGAGGTGGAAGACAGCAGGATTTGGAGGAGGGCGAAGGAGGCGACTTAGCAGTAACTAACATTGGACTTCGGGCCTTGAAGATGAGTAGGAATTGAGGGTACAGAGATAGAAGCCAGGGGTAGATAGTAGAGTACAGCAGGACTTGAAAGTGCTAGTGTTGGTTCAGGAGATGAGAAGTCTCTGTCACCTCAGCTTAAAGTGTAGAATAGGTGGGAGGTGCCACTTTGTTTCCAGCATTGTGAACTAATGGTTGCCTTTTGAATAAGGGTGTGTTTGAAATGAGTAAAATTCTTTTTAAAACAATATATTACACATAATATAAATAGGTATAGCCATGGCATTGTTCTTTCTCAGTATATATGTAATATATTTTTTGATATGTACCAGTTTATTTTTTTAATAGCTGCATAATATTCATTTTTTGATGTACCATAATTTACTTTAGTCAACATGAATGTTTAAATTGTTTTTAGTTAATTTGCCTGTAGAAACAATGTTTCCGTGAATATCTTTGTGTAAATATTTTGCACATTCACATGAGTATGTCTGTGGAGTACTTGTTAATAGGACATGACTAAATTGAGGAAAGGCTTGATACAGACCCACGTTGAGGTAAAATTTGATTTAATGTATTGTAACAGTTGATGAAGATCTGGGAGTGAAAAAATGGAGAACAGAGAAATTGAGGTAGAGGTAGGATCCCTGTACTTGACTAATCGGATGTGCCTATCTTTTTGGGTAGTGTCAAAGATGACTCAAAAAGGTCCTACCTGGGTAACAGAAAGTATATTGGAACCACTAATTACAGTAAAGTTAAAAGGGGAAGCAATTATGGCAAGAAAGATCATGAAATTTTAAACAAGATGTAGTTTGAGCATGCTTTTCCAAAATAGATTGAGATAAACACACTAGAAGGCCAAACAAGGAAGGAACTCTAGGAATGCTGAAGGTAAAGTAGCCAGAAGTTGTGGAATAGGGAATGGTGGAGGGAAGCAGAAGAGATGATGTCTTTGCGCAACCTGGCAAGGTTAACCTGCCCTGTGGTTGCTGGATGCTGTTGTGCAGGTACAGCTATCCAGTGGATACAATGGGCCATAGCAATCCTGTGATTTATGCATGGGGGCTGTTTCTGCTCAGCAGCTTCCATAGCCCGGTCACTGATACATGGTTCTTCCTGAAATAGTCAGTGCTCTTATATTGGGTCTTTGTGCTTGGCATAATACTTTAGTGATTCTTAATCTTTAGGGGAGTAGATACTTCCTAGAAAATTCAATAAAAGTTATGAGCCCTCTTAGAAAGTTTAAATTTTATTATCCCCCAAAGAAAAAAAGATTAAGATAGATATGCCTAATTGTCAGACTCCTGGGTCATGAGTGGTGCGGTCTAGTGAGTGTGCATCTCTCATAAGCTCCCATAGACATAGGCCATCATAGAAACAGTCTTTATTTATTTATTTATTTATTTATTATTTTTTGAGACAGAGCCTCAAGCTATTCTCCTAGGTAGAGTGTTGTGGCTTCACAGCTCACAGCAACCTCCAACTCCTGGGCTCAAGCGAGTCTCCTGCCTCAGCCTCCCAAGTAGCTGGGACCACAGGCGCC